GTATCCACACCCTTATAAGGAGTGCTTTGTTCACCTCACCAACCGATGTGGGACGGGATGTTACAAAAATTGCCTACAAAATTAACCTAACATAAAGCATTTACCAAATCAATCACCAATAAGCAAACAACAAAATCAAAGAAGTAATCAAAATTAAAGACTGGAATTTGGATATTAGAATTTTTACCCAAATTATTAGAGTTGCTTTGCTTCAGTCGAATCAGTCCAGTGACTCCACAGCCTCCACTCCAGTCCACTATCGGCTGTCGGTCCAGTCTACGAAACTAGGGAAAGCCGGAAGGAAGAACCGAAGAAGCAGGCAACAATGAAGATTGAATAAGAAGAAGAAGAAGTGGCGTGAACGTGTCGTCTGTCTCTACTCTCTCCGTCTCTCGTCTGTCGAAGGCTGAAGCGAATGTCGAGCGCGAGCGGTGAAGGGCAGGAAGGATCTGGGTCAAGGCGCCGTGAATTGTGAAGTGAAGAGAAGAAGGGGGCCTTTTACATCATTATGTTGGGGGCCCAATTATACTAAACTAAAAATTACAAGTAATTTTTTTTGGGCTTTGTAATTTTTTTTTATTGGGGCTCAAGACCCCAACCATTATTGAATGCAATGGTAAAAATGAGGGGGGAAGGGACCCCAGTCAAAAACTCAAAAAAAAAAATCATAGGTTAAAATTTAGGTTTTACATGATTTACCTTTCACTTCCCCCTGTTATATTTTTCCATGGTCCCCCAACCCCACTCGAAACCATTACTCTAACAAAAAAATCCGTTGAAATCAATCAAAAAAACCAAAAAAGTTATTCGAAATCGACAAAAACACTAAAAAATCTTTCGAAATCAACCAAAAAACTTTAAAATTCCCTCGAAAACGTTGTAATTAGGTTAAAAACACATCGAACGATTTTGCAGGTCTTTAGTTTACCTTAAAGGTGACCCCACTGAACCAAAATCCTGGATCCGCCATTGCCTGCAGGGTGGTGTTCAAATGTATGTTTGAACGAGATTATTATGACATTTAATAAATCATAATCAAATAATTAAAACAAATAAGAAATAAATAATAAAGGTTAGCTAAATGCTTCAAATTTAATTGCAAAATCTCAGATATAATTATTTTGATATTAACGAGTCGGAATTGTAATTAAATTTATCGAATGATATAAAATCAATTATAACACATTCGTATATAATATATTTGTATGGTATGGTCATAATATACTCATATTTGCTACAAAAAGACCGATGAAATTAGTCGAGGTAAATTTCAAAAATAAAATAAAATAATAATAATTAAAAAGGTATGGAAAACTTTGTGTTCGATGAATATTTCATATCGTCTTCAAAAAGAGGGCTTTTTTTTCTTGTACTTCTCTATTTGTGCCGTAGGACGCACAAATCCAATTCGAATCGGGACTGATAGCAATTGATGGTCGGAATCAACATGCACAGTCATCGTCGGTAGGTCGGAATTCAATTATATATTGCCGGGACGTGATTTGGTGGTCGCCGGAGAACAGAAAGAAGTGAGATAAGCGGTGACGATGAGGACGAATATAAAGCGGTATCGTAAGTCCAAGAAACGCAACGTAGATGATGAGGAGCACGAAGTTATTTTATCATCAGCCGATTTAGCTTCTCACGACGATGTCTTGACGGAAATCTTGCTACGATTACCTATCCGATCACTCCTGCGATCAAAATGCGTATCTAAACATTGGCGCTCTCTTATTTCAAACCAGCGTTTCGCTCTCCTTCGAAACCCTAACCCTAATCCCCCTCGCGGTTTGTTTCTTCGACGGATTGCTGATGTTACTCCTCCGAAGTATGACTTCGTTCCGTTCGATAGAGAAAAACATGTTAAACCTCCGTTCAAAACCCTGATTTTCCATGGAAATGTGACTAATTCAGGTATAGTAGTTCTGCATTCTTCCAATGGTTTAATGCTCTGTCATAGCCTGCATGAATATTACCGCAAGGTGTCAAAAGAAATTGTGTACAATGCCAAGTATTATGTTTACAATCCAACAATCAATCAAGTTGCCACCCTTCCGAAGCTTGAAGGTTGTGATTGGTTTCAAAGGCGGCCTCGTGGTATGACGTTGGCTTTTGATCCTCTCAAATCACCTCATTATAAAGTTATATGTGTTCGTGGATATTTGTGGAGTGATCATCTTTACAATATAGAGATTTACTCATCAGAAAATGGTAGCTGGAAGATGTCTGGAAAACCTTTTCCTAATCAGATTGACACAGAGTTCATGGGTGGGGTTTATTGGAACGATGCAGTTCACTGGATCAACAAGAAAGGGTATATTTTCTATCTAAAGATGGAGGAGGATCGCCTTGATCAAATTCCTACACCTATCGTGCGTGAAGGCTGGAATGTCAAGAGGCATTGTTATCCTCTAGTTGAATCTCGTGACTGCTTGCTGTTTATTGACATATTTCCTCCATTTAGTATGAAATTTGATGTTCATGAAATGAATAGGGACTATTCGGGGTGGTCAGTGAAGTACCATATTGATCTTAACGAGCCTATTACCAGATTCCCAGAGGCGACTGGAATAGCACTGAGCCTCCTTGGTATTTTCAGGCCCATTCAATCGTTTGTAATCCACTGTCTTGTTTTGGGAGAAAGGGAAGAAGACTCATTCCTAGTGTTGGAATTCCCTGGGAAGGCTGTAAGATACAATATAGTGTTGAAGAGTTTTCAGGAGCTTTATGATCTCGAGATATCTCTGCCCTCTAGGTTTTCTGTTGCAGATGATGGCTTGTCCAAAGTAGGCCGATGGCCAGGTGCTTTTCAATTTTTCGAGTCTCTTTGCCATGTCTGATGAAACATGGTACCTGCCCTTTTTTGTGGGACAGTTGTTCGTTTTGTGCTTGTTAAACATATAGTCATCGTTTTCGCCTTTCTTAGTACTTAGCTAGTCACTTTTGTGTTCACCCTTCTTTTGTCATTTCGGTTTTGAGTTTCAAAACTTAGGTATGTATGTTTGATATGGATAGTTAATGATGCACTTGATACCAACACAAAATGGTCCAATTTTTATTTTGGAGTCTTGTTAGAGGCTTCTACTACTTGGTTACCGCTTACTAAAGCCAAATATGCTTAATTGTTAAATCTCTGCTCTATGGAAGCAACCTCCGTATAGCACCGCCCTCATAATTTCAGCTTCCTTTAAAGCTGCGACTGTAGTTATGTTTGAGACTATAAATGGTTTCCCTTGTAGGACGGTGTAGCGTTTAGTTCAAATTTTAAGAAACCCCTAAACCCGTGGAAACTAACGGCATTATAAGAAATGCACCATCTGTAGTACCAAAATCCTAGCTAGCTTAGAAACAGAAGATGATCCTGGACTAACTCTTCCTTCTATCCGTATTTCTTAAACCCTAGTTGGCTAGTCAGTCTTCAATCATCTTCAGTCATTGCTGTGTCTAAAGAGTTTGGTTCAGGATCTGCTTAGTGCCGGTAGATCTTATCTCCTTCCCATCTCCGTAACCGACTTCTATTGAATCTAAAGATGATAAATGAAGTTTGCTTTTGTTTATTATTTGTAATTGCAACACTAGGCATCAACACTAGAAACATTGTAGTTAGAATGTGCAGCTTTATGAACTAAACATTTGAGATTGCCATTGTTTATCTGTCAGGCTTTTAGCAAGATGTTTGATTCTCCCCTCTGCAGATAGTATCTTTTAGTTGTAATCCTTTTGGCATTAATTTTCAAAGCTATTATATTTTGGAACCAGTGGCAGCTAAAACTGACCACCATCACCATTATTAATGCATTACCATTCTTCATAATCAAACTCATCAGACCACTTGTTTTCCCCCCATTAAGTCATCAACCATCCTGTGCCAGCTAAATATTTAAAGAAAATGAACTGGAGTTTGCTCTTTGTGTGTGATGAGAGAGAGAGTATATAATAAATGGAAATATGGAATGCTTGATTTGTCATATCTAACAGCTGTATTGAATCTAAAAAACAATTGGTCCCTTTGAATATTCTCCATAATTGACAATTTGATGTTTGCTTTTCTTGGTGAACAAAGAACAGTAGTGCCACCCAGTACATGGGTCAACCATCAATGGAGGCACTGATTTTGACCTTTCAAGTACATGTTTGACCCATATCAAATACACCCTTTTCAATAGAGATGTGTTTGGCCATCATCATCATCATACTAAATCAGTAAAATCCATTCCTGATGCCTGTGAGGAAACCAATGGCATAGTACAACTCTCTACTGCATCTGACTACAACTTCCAAGCACCATAGCAGAACCCTCGTCCCATTGTTTCCAAGATTTTACACCACCGCCATAGCAACAATATTGGTTTGGTGGATTTTGAGATTTCTGAACTACATTCCAAAACTTCACTAATGTCACCTGAATCTTCAAGATTTTGATCCAATTTCTTCAAGCTTCTTGCAAATCTGCTTTATGTTGGGCCTTTCGTTTCGCGAAGGAGAACAGCAAGCCAATGCAAGCTGGACGAATTCGAGAATTACGCCTTCATTAACTGGACTTAATCTAGCATTATCATCTTCACTCGTCAGAACATCATGATGGTATAAATCTGACATCCGGTGATCCAAGATTGCATTCCTCATCGACATTGGCAAATGGAAATCTTGATCAGGGTTTGCTTTCCCATTAATAGGTTCCTTACCGGTTACTAATTCGAGTAAAATCACCCCAAGATTGTAGATATCGCTCTCCCTACTAACATCTTTCATTTTACTCAACTCAGGTGTTGTATAACCCTCCGCAGCAGCATCTTCGAGCATTTCTTGTGCTGCGGCTGGATTCAAGAGGAGATGCAGGCCAAAATCAGATATGACGGAATGCTGTTTTCTTCCCAAAAGTACGTTCTTCGACTTGAGATTTCCATGGATAATTGGCTTTTGAAGGCCTGTATGGAGATAATCTAATCCTCTAGCAATCCCCATTGATATCCTAAAAATGACTTCCCATTTGTGGGATTCACCATTCTCATCTGCTCAATTAAAATTAAAGAAACATAAGCTACCAAATCTAAAAGTGCAGCATGTGAATGAGATTTAAATATAGGGAGATAATCAGATAAAAACAAGGATCCAAAATAGATGACTAAAATGAGCCAGCAGACACTCCCCCACATGCTTGTTATTTCCAATCAAGACTCCCTTAAATCAAGAATACTTTGATTTCTATATGAACATAATTGGCATGAAGTAATAATTAAGATGAATAATTAATTATTACATGAGCTATCACATAATTGTAGTTCCTGTCTCTTCCTAGAGACAAAATTTGACTTTTCAAGGTCAAATTAGTCAATTTAGAATATGAAAATGATGGGGATTTAAAGAAAGAATGGTCTTGTTTTATAAATTGAATAACAAACAACTACCCATCATCAATATTCAAGAAATCAACAAAATATAGAAAGAGGCATCTCATGGAAAGCAAATATGAATCAAAAGATGCATCAAAAGCAGAAAAGGAAAAGGAACAGTACAACAAAACATGCACAAAATACAGCATTGCCACTGCTTTATGAGAATCTTTAAAGAAAACCCAAAAAAAAAAAATCAAATCTTTGTTGTAGATAAGCATCATTTTTATCAATCTTCATTTAATCATGAACACCAAGAAAGTAGAGATAAATGAAATTATGTAAAAAAAAGTCACCTCTGATGAACTGAGCCAAACTTCCTCTCCTGTAAAAGGGATGAACCAGAAGCTTTTCACCTCTAGGCCCAGAATAAAACCCACAAAGAGGCACCAAATTAGGATGCCTAACTGACCCCAGAAGTTGTACTGCAAGCATCACATCTTGTACCTTCCCAGTACAAGCAGCTGGTCTCAAAAACCTCAACAAAACAACTGAATCACTCAGCAAATTAGCTCTATACAAAGTCCCATAGCTTGATTTCCCAATCACTTCACCAGGAGCATCCAATATATCAAAACAAGTGAGATCTTCACCACCTTCAAACCTAATCAAATCTCCTTTCATCTCTATTTCTTCTACACCACCTTCTTTACACTCACCTTTTTCTTCTTCTTCATCTCTCTCAGACCCTTTTCTTCTACAGACACAAATCAAGAAAAGAAGAAGAACAAATATAACCAAAAAGGAAGATATTGTGACAATCAGTATAAGCATGTGTTTCTTCTCCATTTGGGTTTTGTGGGAAAGTGTGGGTGAAGATGAGATGAAAGCAACAGGATCTGGGTCGGGTCAAGAGATTCAAGCCTGACCCATTTGGGGTTGGGTGATGTGTGAGAGAAGAAGATCTGGGTGGGAATTTGTTTGGTGTTATATGGAGATGAATAGAAGAAGTAAGAAGACAGAATGAGAAGCCATTATGATTGTTGGATTGAATGTGAAAAGAAGCTTTTCCTTCCTTCTGTTTTGAGGAGCAGACAGAGGAGAGAAAGAGATGTGGGGCATCAAATCATCTTTCAAGGTACACCAAATAAACCTTTTAAAATGTTTTCTTTTAACATCGGAAAGAGATAATTAATAATACAAAAAATTAATGATTATTTAATAATAATAATAATAATATTACAAGTATTAATTATCATTACTTTACAAATATGATACCAAATTTAACTAAAACTTTATACTCTAAAACTTTGGTGAAATTTGTTTTCTAAAAAATTATTAAAATCTCAAGTTTTATTTCACTTTCGATTAATAAAAGGTGGTCGTGAAGTCTGAAATCTAAATCAATAAGGCTGCTTATTTTTGTAAACTGATAAATGTCTGAATTTGTTTAGATTATCTATTTTATCCATTAAAAAATTATAGTGTTAAATTTATACAATTTCACATATTTCTTCATCATCGTTACGAAATTTACATCTAAATTATATAATTAACATTCATTTGAACGAAAATATGTCATTAACGGTATTTAACACATTTAAATCATATTAAAATACATTAATTAAGACATGTGAGGATCGATTTGGTAAGGATCGATGGAGATAAATGATCGATTAAGTTTAATTGATTGAGAAACGTCGTTGCTGAGAGTTTGGAGAACAATAAGAGGTGAACAAGAGATAAATGCCTCTAAAAAATTGGGAAAAACCAACAGTCTGAATGACCATATCTCTTAACTAATCAGACATAGGGGAGTGCAAAACCCAAATTATCCGAAATCTGAACACATACCCGAACCGAAAATAAGGTATTTATGTAAAACCCAAATGCCTCGAAATCCGAAAATCTGAAAACCGACTTTTTGGAAAAATTTGTGTTCGGGTTGGATTTGATTTTTGGCCACCTGGTCCGTCCGAAAACTTGAAATAAATATACATATGTATTTTAAATACTATATAAATATACTTATTTATCTAATTATTTTTTTTTAAATTCTAAAAAACTTAGTTGGTCATGTTTTTTTCCAATTTCTAAGCATACTATCAATTTATCAATCCTCTAAATCGATTGAATTCATTGTCAAAATCGATTGGATATATATATATATATATATATGCATTATAACTAAACCCAAACCCGACCGACTTCAACCCGACCAACCCGAAGTAATCCGAAATCCAAAAATTGGGACTTGATTTCCATATCTGAAATCTTATTGGGTTTTTTATTTTTCCACCCGAACCCATCCGATGTACACTTCTAATCAGACATAAGAAGTTCATAAAAGAATTAAAAGAAATAAGGTGTTAGACTTTAATCGATGAAAATGATAGAATTTTTTTGTGGGTCATAAAATAAATCTTTTGGATGCACATAGGAATTGATCCTAGACCTGTTCCTTGTATATGTGTTTCTTAGCGCTAGGCTCATCCTATTCTCATCCTTCTTTTTGTATTTATTTGTTTATTATTTATTACTAGTTAGACATCTGTATAATTATAGTTAGGGGTGATTAAAAGGCAGATATCCGGTCAAAAGATTTGGAACCAGTCCTAATCTGAAACCGGAACTGCTTGGAACCAGGTGCTCGTTGTCTATCTTTTTTTAAATTTTATCATTTCATATTATACAAAAATAATTATTAGTTTGTTACAAAGTATTAATATAAAAAAAAATACTACAAACGGTGAAAAATAATCTGATAAAAACTAAAAACTAATTTTGACAAAAACTCTTGACAGTAACAAAACGCCTTTCAAAGCACTTCACATCAACATCTAACGGCAGAGAGAATTGATTCAACTCTTAAGGAGACGGTGGTAAGTGTAACCCTAAAAGGTAAATAAATAATATCAAAATTTTAATTTATTAAATATAATAAAAATATAAAATATTTTTTATTAAAAAAATAGCGGGTATCTGTTGGTTTCGGTTCTGGGTGCCCAACAAGAGCGGGTACACTATCCCGGAACCGGTCCTAGCGGGTACCTAGTGGTCAAGGGTTTTCAAAAAATGAGAACTGGAACCAGTCTCGATCGGTTATGTATTTTAGGATTCGAAACCAGAACCAATTATATCGGTTCCGGACTTCCGGTTGCGGAACCGACAGCTTTAGAGCGATTCCGGTTCCAAAGTCAGATACTCAGTTCCGATACTCAACCCTAATTAGTGCAATGCGTTTCAATTTTGACGGTGTTTTATGCTTTGTTCCATTCTCCACCCCTCGATTTTTTATAGTTTCATATGATCATTAGTTTTATGAAGCATTTTTTTTTGTATCAGTAAGATTCTATAATTAACTTGTATCAGTTGATTTAAGAATTTTTATGTATGTATACAACTCTATTTAAAAAAAACTAGAATTAAATGTAAATTTCGTCCCTCTAATTTACTGAAATTAACAACTAAGGTCCCTATAAAGAATTTCCAACAAGACAGGCCCGTATAATTTCATTTTTTTCAATGAGTTGGGTTTCCAGGTCAGTTAGATATAAGGCATTTCAGTTTTTTAGGGGCTGTTTGTTTACCTCTTAATAGTTCTATTAAGAGACAACTTCTAAATAGCTAAAAGATGAATTTTATTTGATAAAAAAATCTATATCTAAAACCATCTGAATGATTTTATGTATTACTAGAAGGGTACTCGTACAATGCATCGAGACACATTTTGATCTCAATGTTTCATTTTTTTTACCTATGTTGATATAATACAATTTTATGTGGTTTTGAGAAAATGATAATGTTTTTATTTTTGAATAAAATATAAATTTGAAAATATCATATGAAATTTACAAAAAAATATATCAATATTAGTATCAAGTTAATTATTTAAAAGTTCTTTTTTGTGTATTTCTTTTAATTCAAAATTTTATTATAATTTAATTTAACGTGACACAATAACTTAATTTAAGTTTAATAATATTTTTTTTGTAAAGATAATAATTAAGTATTACGTTAGAACTCAACAATTATTCTAATTATATTTAGATTTTTTATATTTTAAAATGAAATGTTTATCCTTTATTTAATTATATTTATCCGCAGTTAATTACACGAATTCAAACACAAAGCTTTAATAAGTTATACTTATGCACAATTTACTTGTAATCTTGAATTTTAAGTAATATACATCAATAAACAATACTTCATGTATAAAAAATGGTTTTTAAAAATTTTTATCAAATATTTTATAATATAGTATAGATAATTTTTCTTTTCAATTTGGGGTTGATGGAGCAAGTGACTACTGCACATATTACTGTACACTTTTTCTAAAATTTTAAAGAGAAATGTAACACTTTTTGGCTGTTAAATTTTTTATTTTTAATTTAAATAATATAAAAAAATATAATTAATTTTTTCATTAGACAACATAAAATAAGTCAGACAGTTACTGTTAAATATGAATGGGCCCGCAAAAAAAGAACCGGAAGTAATGATGTTTAGTCCATTTGTGTGAAAGTGGGCCCACTAAAAGCACGACATTTGGCCCATTTTTTTAATACCTCATCTCTTTATCTTTTAAATTTCCAATGGATGGGATGGTACTTGATTGGTGCCTCACTTTATATCTTCCTTTCATTTTCTTTAAAAAAAATTTACTTTATAAATTGTTTATGCAAATCATAAAATATATATTTTTTGGGATAAATTGTTATAACTTGATTCTTATTTTGGGTAATGTATTTTTTAAACTTCCATTTTGGTACATAAGATGTAAGGTTTTAAACATTTAAGTATCCGGTTAACCAGTTGAAGTATTAACCGGTTACCATGCTGATATAGTGAGTGATGAAATGAAATTGGGTTGAATATCAAATAATACTGAGTTGGATACCACATCATTCGCCACATCAGCATGGTAATATGTTAATGTTTCAACCGGTTACCCGAGTATTTAAATATTTAAAACTTTATATCTTAGGTACCAAAATGAAAGTTTCGAAAGTTTGTTTACCTCTTAATGGTTCCATTAAGAGACATTCTCTGAATCGTTAAGAGGTGAATCTTGTTTGACAAAATCATCTGAATGATTTTGCATCATGAACCTCACTTAACCATTCGGCGCCCTAATTTCATTGTAAATAATAACCAAACAATTACATTTCATTTTGCACTATATCATGAGATCCATTTAATTATTCTGACTACTTAATCATTTTGCATCAAACCATTCAGTAATCATCAAACATCACCTGAATATATTATATATTGAAATATAAGAGAAAAATAGGGGGACATGGAAGTACCAAGTGGTCCAGTAAAGCGTGTACTGTGTTTTGGGGATGAAGGACTGAAGGTGTCTCACTTGAGTTCGCTGCACCCCACATCACATGTTCATTAATGTCTCAAAATCACTACTTTATTACGTAGATACAAGACTTTTTATAATAGAAAAAACAATTAAGATACTTATTGATTAAGACATTGAGTAGATGAACGGTTGAGATTGATTTATATAGTTTATACTCGGATCTGTTTTTGGTATTTTATAGGTCTTGGATGACATGTAAAATAAGGCCCTTCATAAGTTGACTATTTGAAATAATGCTAAATGTAAACCAATGTAAATCAATTGAATTTCTTTTTCACCTCATGTTAATATTTTTCATCGTTGTTTTAAACTTTTAAGGTTGAAAGAAACTTTTTCGAAAGCATCAATCTTAGGGTCAAAAGCCCATAGTTCGTTATAGTTTGATATCTTATTCTTGTTTTAGAGATAGAAGAATACTTACGATTAATGCACCCGATATTATATAATAAGAAATCAATAATATATAAAAAATAAGGTCTCGTTTGGTTTTGCAGGATTAAACTGGATTTCGAATTAAATTATATTACAATCACATGATTGGTTTGAAGGATTTTCAGGATTTGAAATCTCAGGATTTCAATGAAATTCCATAGACATGGAATTTTGAAATGCCACGAGATTGATTGGTATTTTATTGAATTTTGTAGGATTTGTATGTAATAATGTTTTAAAATATATTAAAAACACTTGTTTTGTAGTTCTATATATACTAAAAAAAGTGGGCCTCTATTTTTGTGGGCTGCGACACCCAGCCTGCCCTATCTCAGGAACGGCCCTAATTGTACTAATGGTTGTAAACGGAACCACCTATATATATATATATATATATATATATATATATATATATATAAATACATACATATATTAAAATCAAAATTTATCGTTATTCATAAATATTTAACACTTTTTATTAAAATCAGAGCTCAAAACCTTCGTATTTTCAATTTCATCTTCAACTTTTTTTTCTTTCACATTTGATTAGATCAAATATAAAACACATCTTCGAATCGGGTTTAGCTTTGATGAACTAGGTAACCCTGGATTTGTGTCGGAATATGAAACTTGAAAGCATGTATGACAGGTGATGGAAGGTGATGACTTTGACGTTGATCAACTGCCACATTGAAATAACAGCAGCGACTCAACCCAAGCACAAACGTGCATTTTCAATTTATTGATTTTGCTACTTTTTATTTCCTTTAAAAAATTCCAATTTTTTGAAATACCCACATGGAGAAAACAAGATTCGTTGGCAGCATTGAAACCAATTGGATTAGGGTATTCATAGCCATTTGTAAGGATGGATGTCTGTAGTTCTAACTATCAACTGCTTGTTTGAGGAGTGTCAGACATGAATTGGTGATGCACGTGACTTTAGAGGTCGAAGATGGTTCTTGGATAGTTTTGTTAATTTAGCACGTGATGGTATTGTTCCAATGCACACCAGCTCTAAAAGTACATATCAAGATCCTAAGGCATTCAATTGCGAAATTGTTAGAAGTTAAAAGTAATACGATACTTTAACAATACCATTAGTACTGAAATCCCTAAAATAGAAAATCTGTTATAGTTGAATATAATTTATTTTGAAAATATTAATTTTTACCTCTTTATTATTATTATTATTATTATTATTATTATTATTATTATTATTATTATTATTATTATTATTATTA